AAATTCACACAAAGTTTCACTGACTCTATAGGTAACCTTTATGTATTCTGACCTAACAATCTATTTTTAAGAGCCAATTTGATCAAGTTACTTTTTCCTTGTTGCAGATTTTGCCTTTAAAAACCCTAAAAATATAACTTTTTTCATGTTTGGGGAGAGTATTCCCAGTTTCACCTGCAATATTCCTTTCTGTGCACAGATCATTTTAGCACCTTCTTTCCCCAGAAACTATGAAAATCAAGCCTCCAAGCTCATGGAAGGAAAGCTAAAATGAAAGCAGCAGCCTGAAATAAAAGACTCATTTCTCAGGACAAAGAATGTACTTGTAGGAACGGTAAGTATTTTATTACCGTTTGCACAGGCTCTTGCAAGCAGAAGTGTCAAATGCATGCATGCTGACAGAACAAGACTGCCCTCCCCCATCATTCCCAAGGACTTATACTTCAAACAAAGACCAGGAGAGATTTTTTCCCCCGTTATCTCCTAGTACAGTAAACATCCCAGTTTTGTGCGGCTGTGCATGACAGACAAGGCTGTTGCTAGGGCACCTAACCTAAGGGGGTTGGGAAGAGTGGATTTTGAAGTATACTTGTTAACATGTCTGCATATTATTACAAGGCTATGATCATCAGTACAAAAAAAAGTACAAAAGTTCAATTCTTAATCCTTAACAGATATACGTGAAGAAAAAGCATGAAGGAGGGCCTTACATCAGACAGAATTTGAACACAAAACTGCAAAGCACACATATGCTGATTTATTTTTTTGCTTAGTAAATTATTTCCCTTTGAGGAAATAAAGAGATAAAGGAATGGCACTGTCATCCCATGTGAAAAGCTACCTCAAGGTAAGCTGGGTGGTTGGGGAACAGAGTGGGTGAAAAGGGAAGCATGCCTGGAAGGGTTTTGAAAGCTAAAGACAAGAAAGAAACAGGTATCCCTCCTTCACCACAGTCCTTTCCCCTTTCACAAAATAGAAAGTGGAATACAGTACAGTAAAGAAAAAGCAAAAAACAGAGGATGGCACACTGTAACTTCTGCTAACAGAGAACAATGTTGACATCAGGAGTTTTGCCTTCTTTAGATCCCTGATTGTAAACACCCTATTTCCCACACCACTTATCTCCCATTCTTCCCTCCCACACCATGAGAAACAAAGTTCCTTTTCAGTGGGTCTTTATAGGTGCTCCCTCCTAAGCCTCCTTTTTCTGGCTCTATATATGCTCGTCTATTCATTTTTTCCTTTAACAAGACTATCTTGTCCCTTCTCCATGGTGGGATCTCATGTGTGCTCCCCCCATTCTCCTCAGGAATCCCCATCTTCCATATATGCAATCTCCATCCTCTACATCACTGTTTAAATGTCTACACCCCACCTCCGCTGATTCCTGCTTTCCTCGTAACTACCTTTCCCACCTCCCCATTGTCTTGCAGGTCCTCAATTTGCTCCTTACCCTCCTGTCTCCCTTGCCTATTTCTCCTCCCCCCTGCCCCACGCATACCTTCACTTCCCTGACATCACCAAACATCTGGTCGCTGCTGCTTTTCATCTCCACCCCCTGTTGCAGGCCATACTACAATGTCTCCTGATAAGCTTTTCTTAAACCTATTACGAATCAGTGGGTCTCAACCTCATTAAACTCAAGGCACCCCTCAGAAAATGACAGCTCTCTGCTTTCACTCATTTTTTTGACTATGGAAAAAATAATAGAGTGAAGAATAATAGAGTTAGAAAAACAACAACTGGTCAGAATGTTCTTGACACCATGGATTCTTATTTGAAATTTGTGGGTTAATCTTGTAAATCATGGGTAGGTGAACCATTTGCACACCCTAGACCCAAGTCCCCTTTCAAAAACACATTTTAATGACTATCTCCATTTCCCCACCCTTTCTTCAAAGTAGTTTTGTGGATGTTACTGCAGTTTACGTGGGAGAAAGGAAGAAGCAGGAGTCACAAGCTTAATACAATGAAGAGCTCATTTGTTTGAGCTTCAAGTCTCCTTTCACATCTCTGTGACTGTGGAACTACTGTAGCATTATTCCCCGTTGCTCTTACAAAACCTAAAAACCCAAGATAGAGACTCCCAACAGACTTCTCATAGGGCATTTTTATACATGTAAGTGCCACAGCACCGGGCGCTTTGAAAAGTGCCTGGCACTGCAGTGGTTACAGTTGTATAAATGGCGAAATGCACGTCAGAGCTGAAAAAATGGCGGCAGCATGCTTTTGAAATAAAACACCTTGGAGGTGCTTTCATTCAAAAGCTCACCGCCACCATTGTCTGAATGTTGACACATATTTCATTGCTTATACAACTTCACACGGTGCAGCGCAGTTCGCCACAGCTTGCGTGCAGAGCTGACCTGATTGATTGAGTCTGCTCTGAAGTGACGGATCTCCAGCGCATCAAGGGGAAAAAAGTATGTGTATAAATGCCCATGGGGTCTTGTTACATCTTACACTGTAAATCAACACAAATGTTGATTGGATTAGTGCTAGCTTAGACTCTGGAGCAGTTGCACCTTAAGGTTAGAAACCTTCCCCGACTGTCTCCCACCTGCACAGGTGTGACTTGCCACTACAGGCCTTGTTACATGGTAATTTTAGACAGCTCATGGAGCTCTTAACCACTGTTGGCCACATGTAGACATTTTTAAGTGGCTTACAGCACTCACGATGTGGCTCAGTTATACCACTCCAGGGCAGGATTATCTCTGATCTGCACTTGCCACTGTGACTTGCCACTAGAGGCCTGGTGGGCCACGACAGGCTTCTATCCCTGCTATACCAGCAGGGGTGTGAGAGACAGGTTGGCAAGTGGCAAAGGAGGATAGAAATATATAACGGTCAATGTCCCCTGCCTCCCCCAGGGCCTGGCGTGGGTGTGGGCAGCATACCGGTGGCTCACTGTGATGAGGCAGCACCTTCCCCTCCTTCTCCCCACCTACAGCCCCCAGCAGCTGCCACTGTGGCTGGGGCTGTCATGATCCCACCAGCCATGGCATGGTGCTGTGGGAAGAAAGCAGCAGGGCAGCATGGTACAGGCAGCAATAGAGCTGTCATTGCCTTGCTGAGCCAGGTAGCAGAGCCAGCACCAGAGCTCCTCCTCTGCACAGTGCCATCCGCACCCTTATGCTACCTCATGTGGTTTTCTTCTTTCTCTTGTGCTGGGCCATGTTCTGCCTGCCCAGCAGCTTCATCCTTATGCACTGGCTCCGGCTTTTCATGTCTCACAGCTCCCCCCCGCTCACCCCACCTGCTGGCCTTGACCCACTTCAAGCTGTCACCATCTTCAGCCACTCGTAGAAACACCATGTGGGGAAGGGACCGCTGCATCCTGGGATACTGGAGGACTTCAACTTGAGTTGAAAAGCTATGGTGAATGGCCACACCTTAATGGAACAAGGAGTTGGGTAGTGCAGATCAGAGATAATCCTGCCCTGGAGTGGTATAACTGAGCCACATCGTGAGTGCTGTAAGCCACTTAAAAGTGTTTACATGTGGTCAAGAGTGGTTAAGAGCTCCAGGAGCTGCCTAAAATTACCATGTAACAAGGCCCATAGTTATCACAGGATCTAATGAGCTACCAAGGTTCTTATACCCAGTCCCTCACCATGGTGTCTGTTGGATATGGTTCATGATGCAGATGTGGTCCAAGACACAGCTGATTGTTTTTAAGGGAAGGCGAGGTTAGAACAAGGGCAAAACTGAAGCACGAGGGGAAGTAAAAAACAAAGTGTATGAAACTAAACTGCCCCACATTATCAGCTACAGAAACCAGAAGTGACAAAAAGGATTCTTTAAAAAAACGAAACACAAAAACAAAAACCCATCACAATATGAAACCACAAGTCATTTTATAATTGGATATTCTAAAAAACAACCTTAAGAATATTTATACTATTCCTTAAAAAGCACAAGATCTAGTTTGGATGCTACAAAATAGAGAATGTTACACAATTTAATCTGTGCAGAAAGGCTTGGAGACAGCAAGGAGATGGATAAGAAAGTGGATGAGGCCACCCACTCTTTTATTATTATGTAGAAGATGCATTGAGAGGCAGAACAGAACAGGCATTTCCTCCTCTCCCACAGTTTGCAATGAGCTGCTGCATATTTCCTTTTGTCATGTTCAGTGTGGTTTAACCTTTTGATGGAGAAACTGAAAATATTCAGGTGTGTATCCCACTGGTAGAAAATAGAAGAGATTAATAATTCCCTTATCCACTTTCCTCCCCAAATTAAAAGTGTAGGAATGTTATCTATAATTGAGTCTATTTCTCAATATATAGAACACAAATGTTCACAGCCCTGGTAAAGGGAGAATGGCATTATCCTTTCAAACAATGAAACAAGCTGAAGGGCTGCTTGTCAGCTCTCTGAAATAATGCTAATGCTGACACTTCATTCATTCAGTCCATTCTTGCCTCTCTACTGGGGACCTCTGCTTTTTACTGTTATGTATATGCACTATATTTAGATTAACTGTTGCTGTTCATCTACTACTGTGTGTCAAAGATAGCTGTGAGCCATAGTTATATTTCTCAGTGACGATCACCCACACCTGTTTATAGCAAAAAGGCACGTGTGCTAGCAATAGGAACAGACAAAGCAATTCAATTAAATAAACTGCCCCATTCAAGACTTTAGCCTTATTGTGGGAATCAGTTACAGCATAGTTAAATTGCACCCAGGCCAAATAGCAACCACTTCAGGATAACCCTGTAATAAAGAGGGGTTTATTGATACTGTCACATTTCTAGTATAGATAGGGTCTTACAAAAAACTGCTCCTTATATGTGCACTGCCAAGAAAATACATTAGCCAATTAATGGGAAATTCCATAAAACAATCCCTGGAATATTAAAGCTCCTCCCTTCCCCTATTTCTCCTCTTCCCCACTGGCTTTTATTTGTTGTCTCTCCAGGGACAGAAATGTAAAGAGTACAGGCTGGGATTCAGTTAAAAAACCCATAAAATTAGCAGCATATACTTACAAACTGGAAGCAGCTCCTAACACTGGGTTCAATATTGCTGCCACCAAATGATGCAACTTCGCCCAGCTGCCGGGGAATCTGGATGGAGTCATGAAGGAGAAGGCCCAATCGGCGCTGGTCACAGAATCCAGTGGAACTTGCCACCTGCTTGAATAGGTCTAGAGGGATCAGAACAAAGGCAAACAAACTTAAGTGATAAAACATGATGCCTGTGGCTATGTAAATACTGCAAAAATCCATTGATGTTCAGAGACTCACAAGCATGGCTAAGAGTCAAGGTGGGAATTGCCACATTTTAATGTGTCCCTGTTTGACTGTTTTCTCATTTGTTAATAAGTTACCAAAGCACTCAGATGCCAATGTCTGGCTACATCATTGGTTTGTATTTGTGAAGCACTGCTATGAAATAACCATTTAACTGCATTTATTATAATATACTCCTACAAGATATGACTGTCATACCATTTAGGTTGCATGGTCTCTGATCCACAGTGATGTGAATATCTTAACATTAATATATATAAAATTTTAATAGCCTTAAAACAGACAATGCAAAGGACCTTATTCTGTGTCACATCATGAGTTCCTTTGAAAAACAAAAAAGTTCCCTAATTTGATATTTCATAATCTACTAAATCCAGGATTATTTTTCAAATAAAAGGGAAACATTCAAATGTGGGAAACATTACATTGTTACAGTGCCCCGCATCCATTGGGAATTTAAATATCATATTAAGTTTTAGTTTTTGAAGTGAAATGTCATTTTAAGCCATGTTCCATTATAGCAATACTCTCAAAAAGGAATCCTTACAGGATTGAATCATCATCCTACCATAAGCTCAATTTAATTTGCTGGGAATTAGTTATACTACATATACTTTGAGAAGGTTTTAAAGTTTGTAATAATAAGAAAAATCAGGTTAGGATCAACTGAAATATTTATGTGGTACTGCCCCAGTTGATAATGCATGAATACATTCTGCTTATTTTTCAAACTGTAAAAATATAAGGTGTCACCAATGTAAAGATAATATACTTCTATGGCTATAACTTCCTTAATATTTCATTCTACACTAGGGGTGGAATTACATAGGAGCTCCGATAATGTTTATGATGTTTCCTTGTGAAGCTTTGACAAAGGATTTCCACCTCCCCCTTCCTCCCCCCTTTTAATTTGAAGAGGTTAAGAATAGAGATATGGAAGGATATAATGTTAAGATGTTTTAAAAGGGGATGGGGGCTTGATGTTCACAAGCATGCGTTAGCTGTTCTGATATAACTGTTATGCATGCATGCTCTTAGAGTAGTATAGGTAAGTTAAATCGCTGTAACTTTAACCCTGGGTGGAAATGGGTTATATTGCTATAAGGGCATGCACATGTAACAATTACATTGGAACAACTTACACTGCTATCATTTGATGACCGTTTAGTTGTTATGTCTGTCCACACCCTATTATTCTTAACAAGTCTGGTCTTAAACCATTTACCTAATTTTAAGGCAAGTTCTACTACCAGCTCTGTAGCCATGGAAAACAACCAAATAGTAGAACCAATACTATATTTCACTGTGAAAGTTGATAGGGATGCTGAAGCCTCCTAGGTAGAATTAAACTTTTCCGGAATCTCACAGCACATTTAACCCGAGGCAGATGCACACCTAAACAGGGATGTTTCTGAATATGATATCTCAGCCATTCTCACACACACACACACACACACACACACACACACACACACCCACACTCTCTCTCTCTCACTCTCTCTCTCTCTCTCCAGACTGAAAACATGCCAGTGAAGACACTTCTAGGCCTTTCCATGTGCCTCTTCTCAAAACCTTGGTCTCCAGCATGTAACCATAATGCAAATTGTTCTACAGATCAAAACTTTGGACTTTGTCAGCTCATCATTTAGACATTTCCCTGGTCACAATCACCAAGGAAAATGGGTTAAATCCTTTTTATGAAGAATCATACTAAATGTTAGTTCTTGCCAAGATGGTTTATTTGATTTTTTTAACTGACTGGTGCTGAAATAGCTTTGGGGTGTGGTGGGAAATCTTTATTGCTGAAATCTATACAGCGGGCAAGTCATTAACATATATTTTGGAGAAAAATCCTGCAAAATTAATAGATCTTTTCTTCTATATGTATTTGTATTTCTCTGATAAATCTGAAAAAATAAAATAAAATATAAATTCAAATACATGACTTACATCTGTATTTATCTTCCAAATGTGCTTTACACAGGGAAATTACACCAGTTTTAAAAGATAAGACACGGATCCTTCCGGTTCGACCCCTAATAACATATGTATAAAAACAAACAAACATCAGTTATACAATCCAGACATTTGATCACTTATTTAGCTGTTCACTTTTAAAATGAATCAGTTTTAGTAATCAATATCGCACACAAATGCATTAGTGAAGAGCCTGTATATATTAAATATATTTAATAGTATTTGTTAATAGAAATGAGACAGTCACAACTCCACAGGCAAGAGTGAATTGAAAGGTTGAATTCAGTTTTTCACTTAAATAAGGGAATCTGCCATTTTCATATCTGTATAAAAATAATAGCGTATCCTCCCAAATCATAGCACTTAGTGGGTGTTAATTTTCTCAAATTTTACATGTAAATCAGTGAACCAGTTTAAGAGATAACATTTTTAAAACAAAAGCTGTAAAAAGCTTAACATCTTGTAAATTTATATTTATTTCCAGTCCAAATGATCATAAGGCCACAAGGTGTCAAATCCGATCGGTTTACAATTTATCTTTGAAGGGTTTTTTTTTTTTTAGTGATGAATAATAATTTATGTTGTTGTTATTTGTAACTGAAAGTTTCTTTAGCAGGAGCTGAGTAATGTTCTAATACAATACTATTCTTTTTCAAAATGGCTGCCATCTTTTGTTCTCAATTGACTAAGACTAAAAGTGAGTTTGACAAAAGCTTATTGTTTAAAAATGGCTACAACCTTCCAGTGATGATACTGGAAGTGAAGCCAAGCTGTTCCAACAAAGATTTCATAGATTTCATAGACATTAGGGCTGGAAGGGACCTCGGAAGATCATCGAGTCCAGCCCCCTGCCCCAGGGGCAGGAAAATGGGGTCCTTGATAATATAAAGAGTAGCCTGTCATGGACAGCTTGGCGTCATTCTAATTTTGAAATAAAAAAAGGGAATCTTTGCCTGATGTCAGCATTTGTGCAAGAGGAGATAATGTGATTTCATATCCCTGAACAAAGAAGCGACCTGGACAAGCAATATACAGCAACTAGTGTCGCTTCTAAGGCATGCAGAAGAAGGAATAAGCTTGCCTATAATTAAGTAGCATATGGGTATTATGGATAATTTTTTAAATTACAATAATCTATACATTAATTTCTGAATTTCTCTTTCTAACATTCAAAATCCTCCCACTCACTAAAAGTACTAGGCACAGTTGTACTCCAGTCCATAACCTGCCCCTAGTTACTCCTTTCCCTAACCAGTAGCGCTCCATAGCCTTCCTGGCTATGCCATGCAACCTCACTCCTCTCCAAAGTCTTCCTCAGAACTCTGCTTGTGGTCAATACACTTTCAATAGCCCCTGTCCCCTAATGTCCTTTTCCCTGACATTAAGCTATGTCTAAGGTCCCTGTCAGGTGTTACAGGGTGCAGTTAGGCTGTTCATTGCATCTTAAATAGTAACTTGACCACACATTCAGGGAATTAATGACACCCCAAAAGGGAAACCAGCCACAACGATATTACTTAAAAATGTGTAATTTTCCTGTGGCTGCTTTCCATTCCTTCAGTTGAACATGTGATAGGATTAGGACAGCACTAAGATGTCCAAATGGGCTTGGCGCAGTCCTCACTGCCTGACAATCACCTGCTTTTCACCTGTATCCGGGACCGCACTTGGGCTCAAACCCAGTTTAGCCAACGATCAACTGATCTCCAGGCTTGCACCGGTACTCCTGGTTGAAGCCCCAGTGTAGTCCCAAAGGCAGCTGACTATCAGCTCATTGTTGCTCTCACACTTTTCAGCTTGCTGGCGCAGAGGGAACCGGATCCCCAAATGCCATGTCCTGCCATGAATGTGTGTTGTGGCTGGAGGCATAATTGTTTGGATTGGGATCAGGTTATACTGTGCCTTGAAATAAACATCTGTCAGTGGCTTAAGTGATTCCTTGAGGTACAGGTCTATCAAGAGTTTTCTGTCTGTAAACTGCCTTGTGCTACTGTAAATGAGATTAACGCATGCGTGTATAAAGGCATCCCCATGCTGTGTTTTACGTATATGAACACTATGGTCAAAAAAATAAATTTCTGCTGTAGTACTATCAAAGTCAATATAAGACCCATCTGGACGTGGGCCTCTCTTCTCTCAGACTAATGCAATACCCAGAGCCAGCCATGGAGCAAGTGCCCCCTTTCCCCCGAGACACAGCCCCACACTTTACAACTACTTAGCATATAAAATAATTATTTTCTTAGTTCACATTTTGCAATAATGTTATAATATACTGTTACAATACTTCTGAATATTGGCTCTTAAGTGAAACATTAACCTGAGAATAATTAGTAGGTTACAAAATAAATTCTAGTAAGCTTGCTTTGTCATGAAGCCGATGCTCTGCTGAATTCACACAAAGCCCCACATTTGCTAAAACCTTTGCAGTCCACTGAAATCAATAAATATACTCATACTGAAAATGGTGGGTTGCAGCAGAATTTGGACCCGTCACATCCCGGTTTTTATCTTTAAAAACATTCTTGGTTTTTCTACTTGTGAGCTGGCATTTGTTGCTCATCTATGCAGCTCAACACTCTATTCCTTATTCTTTTTCTCCTTTTAACTTGCTTTCCTCATGCAAACCTTTCCAAATTAATTATCCTTTGTGCCCTCAGAAACTCATGCTGATGAATACTAGGCTCATGCAAATTATAAAGGAGAGGCATGTAGCATGATTATTTTCCTGTAAGGCATATTAAATGGGAACCTGCATGAATCACAAGGTGTTCAGTTGACTATGCTCTTCTCTCCAGTCAAACAGATAATTTAGCACGCTACTGCAAATGAGTATGAGTGATCAATTAAAGCATATCTGAAACATAATGAAGATTTGCAGGGCTGTATCCATGACTGGATCTGTCATTGGTGGTGTGCTCTAATTATCCATACCTTTACAAATCACAGAGACTGGACAACTTACTTTCAAACTAATAGGATCATGCACTCAGGCTGATCTGTCTGATTACTCTATGATTAAACCTATATATAGTTGAGGGGGTTTTCTTTCAATACTTATCTAGAACAACAGAAACTTCAGTAAATGTCCTTGAATCCCTAGGTCTCACCCCAGTTTCCACTATCCTGCATTCAGACCTACAGCATCCGTCTTCCCAGCAGGCCTGCCTGCAGGTAGCAAGCCATAATTCTCAACCTTGCAGGTTTCAACATGGAACAGCTATGCGAGTAGACAAACCCAGGAAGAGGATCTCTTAAAATGATTTTTATTCCCTCAGCTTGAATTTGCAAGGCCTGCACACCCAGCAGTTTTTGTCTAGGCAGAAACCTAGTTCATATTCAAATTTTATTCATACTTGGGTCTTAACATGCTGGGTTTTCTCTGAAACCTCAAGTGCATTTTTTTAAAAGCCTAAACTAAATATTGAACATAGCCCCATTCTCTATTATCTGTAAACTAAGCAAAAACCTAGAGTAATCACAGTATGCAACAGAACTTCACTGTACTTCATGGCTGCTGTGCCTTACGGCAGAAGAGACATTGCTCTGTTTATAAAGTCATATTGGGAGGAGACTGTGGAAGAATAATCTGCAGAAATCTTATTAAAAATCAATAAAGCATAATAACACTGATGAAAACTTAATGAAAGAAACATTCTTAGGTCACAGAAGTATTCCCACCTTAATTTAACTTAAAAGGCTGATGAAATTAAAATCACGGTCCTGGTGTTCGTCAGACTGCACCCACAGAGGTATATTTTGCCAACTGGTATAAGGAAGAAGCATCTGTTTTTCAAGTTACCTAGCAGTTGCTTACAGCCTTAAGTAACTATGTCAGGACATGGACTGCACAATATGCTCACTGAATTTCTCATTAAAAGACCTGTTTACTACCATAAATCCAAAACAACAGTGTATCTAAAACTAGATTGGTTTAAATACTATGCAACTTGGGAGCTATCCTAAGCTTCATAAGGCAACTGATTAATAAATTAGAGAGAATGGAATAGACATAAAACTCAAAGTAAATCTGTCCCAACTTCTGTAAATTCCTGGGTGTGTAAGTTTGACTTTGAAGGCTGTCTTAGTTTATTTTCTCAAATTAAGCTTTAGAAGGAATGCTACTGACCTTCTAAAATTCACTCAGATCTGTTGACTACTGAAGGTCACAAGCATATTACACTACAAGTGGCTCCCTTCCAGCATTTAACATGAATTACACAATAAAAACTCCTGAAAATGCACAGCCCTGAATAGGTTTAACTCTTGGAAGTGCACTCATGTATGATTACACTTATATTGAAGATTATATTGTTGCTTTTTGATAATGCTCTAAATTGGTTAAGATAAAGGCACGCTAACAAAGAAATTCAAAAGCACCTAGTGGAGGCATGACCTAATGATGGAATGGAGTACTGCAAAATGACCCCAGACAGACTATTCCACATAAAAATAGTCCATTTTTCAGCTATCACTTCTTAGCTTAATAAAACAATTTAGGACTCTGAGCCTAACTGAGGGCCATATTGATTCAGCTAAGTGCAACCATTAAGCCATTAGTTTTATTAAACTTGCACTCTGACCATCAGCTTTTCATCTCCGAACCATCCATTTTGTAATGAGAAAGACAGCTCATTATTCCCAACTATCATGAAAGCTTTTTAGTACAGTACATTCAAACTACTTCCACATACGTGTCATAGACATTCAGCAGCCAGTTGAGGCACATGTCTACACAGAGAGGGACGTTGACCAGGTTATTGTGCTCTTGTTCCAGGCGATCATAAATGGTGGTCAAGCAGTTAATGATCTGTAGGATGTCCATTGGCTGGTCATTCTGTTTGAGGTTGTGCTGGTCCAAGGCATCACATGCAGCAGACAAACTTAAGAGATCCACTGTTGAAAAGAAATCATGATAAAGATAAGAAAACATTACAGTCACTGAATATTTGTATTATATTGTGTTCTAGTATTTCCCACACCCCAATTTTCATTAACATTTTTGTGCTGACATCACTCTGCCAAACCCATTCCATCCCCTGTGTCTGTAAGTATTCTGATCTCACAAGGTTTTATACATGTTAAGTGTTGTCTGGACAGGTACTTTACATTTTAAATATTACTCATAAACTTTTTGTATTTATCTGTATAGGATCTCTCAATCTATTGGGTGCCATATAAATTATATAATATTATCTGAATCACCACACCGCAAATATGAAACACTTCTAATGATCTTTATATATTCCTGTTGATAGGATAGTGTTCAAATAAAAAACCACATTGAACTCAACATAAATGTTGAAAGTCAACTTCATTGAGGACCACCACTTATTTTCATGGCATAAACAGAAAAATTTCAGTTGACCCATAGTCCATCAAAATGTGCATCTCCATAAAAATGGAAACATTTTGCAAAACTTGGTTAGCTTTACCTGTACTTTGTTTCAAAAGAACAAGGAAACAAAAGTTACACGAATGTTGAAACAGCTCTTTTCAATATTTTTTAAACTCATGATGTTAATTTTTCATTTTGAAATTATTAATAGAGTTCATAGACATTAGGGCTGGAAGGGACCTTACAAGATCATCAGGTCAAGCCCCCTGCCAAAGGGGCAGGAAGTCAGCTGGGGTCAGATCACTCCAGCAAGATAAACATCCAAGTGTTTCTTAAAGTTATCCAGGAGTAGGTGCTTGCACCACTTCTGGTGGGAGTCTATTCCAGACTCTGGAGACTCAGATGGTAAAGAAGTTTTTCCTTATGTCCAGTCTAAAACGGTCTTCCAGCAGTTTGTAACCATTAGACCTTGTCTTCCCTTGGGGTGCCCTGGTGAACAGATGTTCTGCCAGTCCCTGATTCACACCCCTTAAATACCTATAGGCTGCCACCAAGTCCCCCTGAACCTTCACTTCTCCAGGCTGAAGAGTCTCATGCCTCTCAGCCTCTCCTCATATGGCCTGTTCTCTTGACCTCTAATCATATGTGTAGCTCTCTTCTGGACTCTCTCAGGTTTTTTCTGAAGTGCGGAGCCCAGAATTGGACACAGTACTCCAGCTGCAGCCTCACCAAGGCCGAGTAAAGTGGAAGGATGACTTCTTGGGTCTTGCTTGAGATGCATTAGTAGATGCAAGCCAGAGTTTTATTTGCTTTGCTGCCTGTGACATCACATTGGTGACTCATGTTCATCTTGTGGTCAGTCATGATTCCCAAGTCTTTTTCAGTCATGGTGCTAGTGAGTGTAGCACTGCCGAGCCTGTAAGTATGATGTGGGATTTTTCTTGTGTTGAATGTCATCAGGTTTTGATCTACCCACCTTGAGACCCTGTCCAGGTCAACCTGAATTGCCAGCCTATCCTCTAGCATGACTGCACTTCCCCATAATTTGGTGCTGTCCATGAACTTAGCCAGTTTGCTTCTGACACCCGAATCCAGATAATTTATGACTATATTAAAGAGTACTGGTCTGAATTCTGAGCCCTGGGGGACATCACTGGTCACCATAAACCACGTTGACTCAGTTCCATCTACTATCACTGTTTGGGTCCAACCACGGAGTCAGTTCCTCAGCCACCTGACTGTAAGGTTGTTGAGGTCACAGCTCCTCAATTTTACCATGAGGACATCATAGATGTCCTCATAGATGTCATCATTGCATGACGAATAGATCCAAGGAGATGATACTTCCCCTCTATCGGGCGCTGGTCAGACCGCAGTTGGAGTACTGCATGCAATTCTGGGCGCCGCACTTCAAGAGGGATGCGGATAACCTGGAGAGGGTCCAGAGAAGGGCCACTC